GTACTACTGTTCACAACATCCAAAATTTGAAAGCAAACTAAGTGTCCCATCAATAGATGAATGGATAAAGAAAATGTGGTACTTACACAATGGAGTACTATTCAGCCATAAAAAAGAATGAGATCCTGTCATTTGCAACAACATGGATGAAACTGGAGGTCATTATGCTAAGTGAAATAATACTGGCACAGAAAGACAAACATCACATGTTCTCACACATTTGTGGGATCTAAAAATCAAAACAATTGAATTCATGGAGATAGAGAGCAGAAGGATGATTACCCAAGGCTGGGAAGGGTGGTGGGAGGGTAGCGGGGAGGTGGAGAGGATTAATGGGTACAAAAGAATGGAATTAATAATAAGACCCAGTATTTGATAGCACAACAGGGTGACTGTAGTCATAATAATTACACATTTTAAAATAACTAAAAGAGTATAATTAGATTGTTTGTAACACAAAGGATAAATACTTGAGGGAACAGATACCCCATTTTACATGACGTGACTATTATGTATTACATGTCTATATCAAAACATCATATATATACGATGTAATACCCCAGGTGTGTGTGTGTGTGTATGTGTGTATGTGTGTATATATATATATATATGATGTAATACCCCAGGTATGTATGCGCGGTGGCTCAAGCCTGTAATCCCAGTACTTTAGGAGGCCGAGACAGGCGGATCACGAGGTCAGGAGATCGAGACCATCCTGGCTAACACAGTGAAACCCCGTCTCTACTAAAAAATATAAAAAACTAGCCAGGCGAGGTGGCAGGTACCTGTAGTCCCAGCTACTCGGGAGGCTGAGGCAGGAGAATGGCATAAACCCGGGAGGCGGAGCTTGCAGTGAGCTGAGATCCGGCCACTGCACTCCAGCCTGGGCGGCAGAGCGAGACTCCGTCTCAAAAAAAAATATATATATATATACACTCCTACTATGTACCCACAAAAGTTAAATTTTTAAATTAAAAAAAAAACTGACATGGAGGCTGTGGTGCATGCTTATAGTCCTAGTTACATGGCAGGCTGAGGTGGGAGGATCTATTGAGCCCAGGAGTTCAAGACCAGCCTGGCAACATAGCAAGAACCTGTCTCTTAAACCAACAAACAACATTGACATGGAAGGATATTCGTGATATACACAGAGTCAACGAATTTGGAAGTATATATACCAAAGGTTTATCTTTAGATGGCTCTGAACTCCCTCTCTCCCTTCCCTCCCTGCTTACCTTCCTTCTTATGTATTCTAATGCTTTTAAAACAACCATGGTTTATCTGCAACATATGAAATGTGCAATACAAATATAAAAGATTAATCATCCTCATATATGAGATCTGAAAATCAATGAGGGCTGGGCGCTGTGGCTCACGCCTATAATCCCAGCACTTTGGGAGGCCAAGGTGGGTGGACTACTTGAGGTCAGGAGTTCGAGAGCAACCTGGCCAACAACGGTGAAACCCCATTTCTACTAAAAGTACAAAATTAGTTGGGTGTGGTGGCATGCACCTGTAATCCCAGCTACTCGGAAGGCTGAGGCAGGAGAATTGCTTGAACCTGGGAGGCAGAGATTGCAGTGAGCTGGGATCCTGCCACTGCACTCCAGCCTGAGCGACAGAGTGAGACTCCGTCTCAAAAAATCAAATCAAACCAATAAGAATAGAAAAACTTCAAGATGGTCAGTGGCCAATTAACACTTCTGTTCAATGTTCAACCTCAATAGTAATCAAATAAACATAAATTAAAACTGCTTTTCTTCAAATAAAACTTATTATTGTTCTTTTTTTTGTTTGTGGTCACAGTATATAAAACAAAATTTACCATTTTAACCATTTTTAGGAATACAATTCAGTGGCACTAATGACATTCACAGTGTGGTACAACCATCACCTCTTCCTATTCCCAAAACTTTTTTTGTTTTTATGAGATGGAGTCTCACTCTGTTGCCCAGGCTGGAGTGCAGTGGTGCAATCTCAGCTCACTGCAACCTCTGCCTCCTGGGTTCAAGCGTTTCTCCTGCCTCAGCCTCCTGAGTAGCTAGGACTACAGGCGTGTGCCACCACATTTGGCTAATTTTTTTTTTTTTTTTTTTTTTTTGTAGTTTTAGTAGAGATGGGGTTTCAACATGTTGGCCAGGCTGGTCTCAAACTGCTGACTTCAAGTGATCCACCTGCCTCAGCCTCCCAACCCAAACTTTTTATCTTTTTAATCTTTTTAATCACTTCCCAGACCCTGTAACTAGTAAGCAATAACTCTCCATTCCCCTATTTTCCCCAGTCCCTGGTAACCTCGAGTCTACTTTCTACGTCTACAGATTTGCCTATTGTATAGTTTTCACATAAGTAGAATCATACCCTGTTTGTCCTTTTGTTTCTGGCTTAATTTAGCAGAATGTTTCCAAAGTTCATCTATGTTACAGCATGTATCATACTTCCATTCTTTTTTGTGGCTGAATAATGTTTCTTTTTTTCTTTCCTTTTTTTTTTTGAGACAGAGTCTCGCTCTGTCACCCATGCTGGAGTGCAGTGGTGCGATCTCAGGTCACTGCAAGCTCCACCTCCCGGGTTCACGCCATTCTCCAGTCTCAGCCTCCCAAGTAGCTGGGATTACAGGCATCTGCCACCACGCCCGGCTAATTTTTGTATTTTTAGTAGAGAAGAGGTTTCACCATGTTAGCCAGGCTGGTCTTGATCTCCTGACCTCGTGATCCGCCCGCCTTGGCCTCCCAAAGTGCTGGGATTACAGGCGTGAGCCACCGCGCCCAGCTCTTTTTCTTTTTTTTGAGATACAGTCTCTTTCTGTCCCCCAGGCTGGAGTGCAGTGGCTCAATCTCAGCTCACTGCAATCTCCGCCTCCCAAGTTCAAGCAATTCTCATGCTTCAGTCTCCCAAGTAGCTGGGATTACAACCACCTGCTACTACCCCCAGCTAATTTTTGTATTTTCAGTAGAAATGGGGTTTTGCCATGCTGGCTAGGCTGGTCTCAAAACTCCTGACCTCAAGTGAGTGATCCACACACCTCAGCCTCCCAAATTGCTGGGATTGCAGGTGTGAGCCACTGCGCCCGGCCTGAATAATGGTTCATTGTATGGACAGTCCACATTTGGTTTATTCCGTTCTTCTTTTGGTGGATACTTGGGTTGTTTCCACATTTTGGCTATTGTGAATAATGCTGCAATGAACATTATCATACAAGCTTACTGTTTTCATTTTGTTGTTGTTGTTGTTGTTATTTACCTAGGAGTTCAATGGCTGGATAATATGGGAATTCTAGATTTTGGTTTTTGAGGAAATGCCAAACTGTTTTCCACAGTGACTATACCATTTTACATTCCTACCAGCAATGTAAGAGAGAGAATTATTGTTTTTAGTCTACCAAATTGAAGTCCTTAAAAAAAGTAAGCCTAGTGTTAGCAAAGCAAGACTAAAGGAAGGAAATGAGGAACATCAAACTTAGCTAAATGAAGCACAAATTGATAGAACTTTACTTAGGGCAACCTGGCAATATGTAAACATAAAGTGACTTAAAAATATACATATTCTGGAGCCAGAATTTCCACTTCTGGGAATTTATCCTAAACAAATAATCACAGATAACAACAAAGATTTATATATAGGAATGTATTTATTCTAAATTATATGGGAAAAAATTCTAAGCAATCTGAAAGTTTAATGATAGAAAATCAGACAAATAAATGATCCAGCCACCATTAAAATATCTATGTCTTCAAAAATATTTAATGACTTGAAGGAAATCCGCTGACAATAAATCAAGCAAGTTTCAAAATATAATTTTTTCTACAAATGTCCTCCACTCCTTATCCATGAGGATATGTTCCAAGACCCCCAGTGGATGCCTGAAACCATGGACAGTACCAACACTATACACCCATGCGTTGCTTAACAACAAAGATGTGTTCTGAGAAAGTGTCTTATTAGGTGATTTCATCACTGTGCAAACATCATAGAGTATACTTGTATAAACCTAGATGGAATAGCTTACAACACACCTAAGCTATATACTATAACTTCTTTTATTACTCCTAGGTGAAAAATCTATACAGTGTGTTACTGTACCGAATACTGTAGACGACTGTAACACAATGGTAAGTATTTGTGTATCTAAACATAGAAAAGGTACAGTAAAAATCTGGTATTATAATTTTACCAGAACACTGTTGCACGAGCATATAAGGTCCACTGTTGACTGAAAGGTCATTATGCCATACATGACTGAATACACCATGTTTTTTCCTATATGTGCAGACCTATGATACAGTTTAATTTATAAGCTAGGCACAAAGATTAACAACATAACTGGTAATAAAATAGAACAATTATAACAATATGCCAGCATCAACCCTTGTGCTTTGGGGTCATTAAGTAAAATAAAGGTTACCTGAATACAAGCACTGTAATACCGCAACCAAGATGGCTGCCAAGTGACTAAAGGGTAGGTAGCATAGACAGCCTGGAGATGCCAGACAAAGGGATGATTCACGGTCTGGGAGGGACGCTGTAAGATTTCACCAGGCTACTCAGAAAGGCACAAAATTGAACATGTATGAATTGTTTATTTCTGGACAATATTTTAAATAAAACATCAATATGAGACAAATGAATTTAACCAAACATCCCTAGCTGCCTTTCTTTCCCAAAGTGTACCAGTACTAAAGCTCTTTCACTTTTTTTTTCTTTCCATTTTTCCCCAACACTGAAATCAAGAGGTATAAGAATTCTGTGGGTTTAGGCCAGGCACGGTGGCTCACACCTGTAATCCCAGCACTTTGGGAGGCCGAGGCAGATGGATCACCTGAGGTCGGGAGTTCAAGATCAGTCTGACCAACATGGAGAAACCCCATCTATACTAAAAAAATACAAAATTAGCTGGGCGTGGTGGCACATGCCTGTAACCCCAGCTACTCGTGGGGCTGAGGCAGGAGAATCGCTTGAATCCAGGAGACAGAGGTTGCTTTGAGCCAAGATCATGCTATTGCACTCCAGTCTAGGCAACAAGAGCGAAACTCCGTCTCAAAAAAATTAAAAAAAAAAAATTCTGTGGGTTTTTCCTCTAGTGTCAGCATAGTAGTCATGGCCTTTCATGGGTCTGTTTTTCTAGCCGCATTCCACTTAAGTTTTATTGAAAACCTCACAAATGAAACTAGCTCCTCCTAGGTTTTTCTGTGATCACTTAGTTTAAAGAAATTAAAGGTCTGAGGAAAGCAAAGGCCAGGTTTTGGGGTAAACCACCTGAGTGGAAAACTGGGCTGGTACAAGGCAGTTTTCCAATGTGCTGTGCCCTGCGGCAGGGTAGTTTTCAATAAATGTAAGTAGGGTATATTTAAATAGCACCCAATTCACTTTTTATTCTCATAAAAAGGGAGGGATGAAAGAGATGGAAATGTAGATATGGTTCCATAAAAAGCCACAGCTGAGCCAATAGCAGTAAGGAAACCCACGGAGGTTACCTGAAGTATGTATTACACAGCTTGTGATGAGAAAAAGCCTCATGACTTTTCCTACCCTCAGCTATTCCTAGTTTTATTAAACAACCTGGTATCCTAGCAAAAGACACTACTTACTTCCACCAGGAAATCTTTTTTTGCAGTGTTTACTTGCAGAACCATCCAACACTTAGGTTTACTGGGCTTACTTTTAAGAATGCTGTGCTCCAGGGCTGGGCAAAGTAAGTAAAATGTTGTAAAGTTGTAAGTATTTTTTTATGGAGAGGGAAAATATTTTTCATTTCTTTAAAGCTTTAAGATGACCATCTTTAAGATGACCAGTCCTTTAATGAAGCAGAATTGATGGGGGTAACGCAGAGGATCTCTCACAAGGTGACATGTGATACCCAGTTTGGAGCTCAGGGTGTTGACACAGATCCTAAGTAAATGACACTGCTATTTGATCCAATAAATGATGAAGTATGAGATGAAGTGCAGATCTGAAAGGCATATATCTCAATCCCCAAAGGCTGCCTCAAATAGTAACTACTGATGTTCCAAGGCATTTGCCCTATGTTCTACAATGAAACAAACACTTTAAAGCCATCCTGTGGTATTTCCTTACTTTAATTTCAATTGGAAAAGTTTCTTTATACAGTTATACAAGATGAAAAAGTCATAGAGATCTGCTTTTTTAAAAAAAAGTTTTTAAAAAATAAAAGCAGAAAAATATGTCTTAGTTACTCCTTGGTCAAGGTCTTTCCTCCTAAAACACTGGAATAAACCTCTCAGCATCTTTGCTGACATGAGTCTGTGGGTGGGGAGGTGGAATGGGAGAGAGGACATCAAGCCCACCCAACTCCTGGAATTTTTACAGAAAAGACAAAACTTTCCAAGTGAAATAGTCATTTTGGTAAACGAAACCATTTGTAACTTTAGAAAAGTTTTTTCTTTTATTCCAACATATCATAAGAAAAATCCACACTGTGCTTCTAATAGGCTATAAAGCTTTGGTTTAAAGATGGGTCAACAAGAGCTAAAACCACTAATGTCATACTTGGAGAAGCAAGAGTGGAGGGCAGTGACGTCCCAACACTTCCAGGATCCCAGTGAAAAGTCTCACCCAGGCGAAAGACTATCTGCCAAATTTATGCCAAGAACAAAGTTTTATAGCCAAGTTAAAATCTTTTCTGTATTTAGGGACTGTTATAAAAATAGTAACATTTTCTGCATCCTCGAGAGAGCCTTTTCCTTATAGAGATGAAACAGGATTATCAAAATAGGAAGATAGTTGCTGTGAGGGAGAGACAGAAACAGGACAAACTGAAACAGAAAAAAGAACATGAAAGACAAAGAGTAAGACGGAGTGAAAAACACATATAAACAGTCAGTCTGACATGCTCAGGACAGTCATCTGTTCCTCTGCAAACCAAATAGCTTTTCTTTGCCTTTTTAGGCTGAGCAAAACATATTTGCATGTAAAAAAATATATAACTAAAGTTAAATCCATTTGGGCAGCAGTATTTTGAGGTTCTTTTTTTTAAGAAGAGGGGACTTAGGGAGTTAATTTCATTCCTTAGTCCCAGCCAAAAACCTCCATGAACTGGTTAATTTCAGGTCAGTAGGAGTTCCTGGAGTTAAAGAGTAAAAATGTCAACATACTCCTTACTAAAGCCACAGTGATGAATACTTTTTCCCTTAAAGGATTCTCAGAGCTGCCTCAGACTACTGCAAATGTATCCAAATGACAGAGGATCACAGATTTTAGAATAAGAAGGGTGTTTGAGCATTTAATATACAAACTTACTACAAGAGTCAACTGAGGATTAGGAGACACACTGTTACACCAGCATAACCTAAGATGGGAAAAACTGAATGGCAGGGATGCGGGTATAAGAGAATGATTTCTAGGATTTAGATTCTTCTCTGAAATATCAGAATATAATCTGTTATTGGAACATATCTTCATACCAAAGCACATTATAGCTAAAAACACAGGCTCTGGAATCAGACTGCTATGGGAATTCAACCTGGAACCTATCACATTTCAGTCTGTTTGCTCGACTGTAAAATGGGGACAATAGTATAACCTATCTTCTTAGGATGCTCATCATACATTATAATACACATGAAGAGTAAAACTAAAACTTTGGGACAGACAAAAAGGAAATATTTTATGGAAAGAAGGTAAGGTGGTGACAACTGACATTTAATGAGTCCTTGTTATGTACCTGAACTATGGCCAGAAGATTTACAAATGTTGTATCTATTAATTTTTACAACAGCAGAGACAGATGTTCCTATACTCTCTACACCTAACCACAAAGTTCATGCACTTGCATTACACACGTCTATTCAAAAAATTTCTCAAAAATGGACTTTAACAACGAGCTACGTAAAACATGTTCATGACAAAAAAAATTCAGATGACAGTGTCAAAGGTGGGAGCTACGTAGTATACAGTACTTAATTTCTCTGAATCACACCTTCTTCTGAAAAAATGGAAATTGTAACAGTGCTTTTACCTCATAATATTTTATGAATACAGGTGATAATGCATGTGAAATGCTTAGCATAGTATATTCAGCAACCAAATGTTACCTAAAACCACTAATAGTTCATTATATACAATTTAATATGCATATAGGAGAGAAACTCTATGAGCTGCATATAATTCAAGAGTTAAATACAGACGTTAAGTATCCCATTTAACTTTTAATTCCATAACTTTTCAAGAATAAACCTCTCCAAATAGGTTTCCTTCATGAAAACAGATGCATACAATTCAAAATTATATCAGCTTATGTTAATTTTCATGATCACAACCTCAGAATAGTTTTATCTCAGCTAAGGACATCTACTAATTTGCATATAGCTATTTTTGTGAATGTTAATAGTATTGCATTCAGGAGGTTCCTTAGTAATTTCTTATTTTTATTCTTGAGACCATATATGCTAAAGTAAACTACAGTGAAAATTACACCATCCATAGAAGGAACTGATAAAGGTATCATCCCACAGCCTTTCAATTTATTAGTATTTTTATCATATCAACGAACTAGAAGGCAAAACCTAGTTACCATTTTGCAGATGAATAAACAGAGGCCAAAGACGAGCCAGTTAAAGGCACTGCAGTCCCCACGCATCAATGGGTACACTTTCATATCTGCACTTCCTTAAATTTCTTAAAAAGCCAAATATTATTCTGAAATCGAGGTAGGGAGGTACTTCTGAATACATCACACAAAACAAACCAGAATTTTAAAATGTGAAACCACAAGTCAAGAGGATGAGAGCTGAACAGCTCTTATAAGTTTAAAAGTGGCTAAGAGCTCTTAGATCTTTATAGTAATAAATATTGTAGTGTACAATGGTCCGTTGGGAATCCCCACTCATATGTTAGTCCATGATTGAAGATCAAGGCGTCAGGTCCATTTAGAATCAGTGTATTTTGGGTATGTTTTAAGCTTTAATCCGTATTTTGAAAAAACAGTTAACAACATTTCTAAGGGAAATATAATCACCTTGATTACCTTGCAGTCCTCCACCGCTCACTATAGAGTGAATTGTGAGTTTCAAACACTGGTATTCCTTTATTTTGAATTTTCCCGTAAGTAGATGGAAAGGGGATGTGACCTTGGCCAATCACCATTCTTAAGTGGAAAGCCTTTTTCAGCTTAAGAAACCATTACCTGATTGACAGTGGCCTTCCTAGCTGAAAATAACTGTTCACTACTTAAAGGTAGTGTCTGTGAGATGCAGGTATAGTTAGGAGAGCCTTGATTGTAACAGTCTTCCATCATCAAAATCTCATTGAAGAGGTTTTGCCAGTGTTCTCTTAAAATAGAGGTGCCATTCCAGGGTGGAGGTGATGCATTTTGTGTCCTCTATGATACAACAGTGTATGATAAAAAGAATAAATATAAATAGTCCCCAGGTCACATACACGCCCTGATGATTATATGAATGAAATCAAGGTTGGCTGAGAGATGCTGTTCAAGATCCTGGAAAAAGTGAAGGTTTCACAGATTCACACCTTTGCTCTACCATCTGCTAGCTCTGTGACAGTAGACAAGTTATTTAAATCTCTTAACCTCAGCATCGTCAATTGTTGAAAAAAAATCTAAAAAGTATGTTGTTAAAAACAGAGTTTAATTTATGCTTGCATGGATAGCGTATGGCCGTGTTGTAAAGGACTCTAGTGGAAAGATGGTCTCCTTGTCACTTCTGCTCCCTAGCCACACAGTTTCTCTTTGAAGAGGTAATTACTGTTTCCAGGCAAATGCAAGAACTTGGTTTCAATGTTCCATGATGAAATGTCGAATTCATTAACATTTGTTGAGTGTCTATTATGTGTCAGAACCATTCAGGGAGCTACGGGGAGTAAAAAGATGAGTTCAGAGTCTAGAATGAAAAACAATACTCAACTAATTTTAATATGAGATGGTATACATAACAGTAAAAGTTTAAGAACAGAAGAGAACATAAATTAATTTATTCAAGGGGGTGGGTTGGAATAAAGAGTAAGATTAAGAACACGTTTCAAGAGAAATGAAAAGTTTCAGGCACCATAGTAAGTTCTCTCTGGCTTAAGTCATCTGATTCAGGAACTGGGCCCCTCTCATGGCTATAAAAACTCTAATTTGAGGTACTGACTCATGGCTATGAATTTCTAACATAGGAAAAGGAAAAGGTAGCCCAAATAGAAGGTCAAAGGGTTCGCTATTTCCTCTTTAGGTAGAGAGAAACAGAAGAGTAAATGGGTTCTGTTCCCGATCTTACAAGCATTCATTTGAGAACTACATAAACTCATCTAAAGAAGGGATAACTAACTAGAAAGTTCAACTTTCTAGTGTCAAGTATAACTTAGTGTTCTCTACAATCTTAACATTGAACAACTGTTGCCTTTCCAAATATTATAGAACACCAAAGTAAAATAGGTTTAAGACTCAAGACGCCACTTCATACAACAGAAGTCAATTCTACCATGTTTCTTGTAGCTGTCTAGAACATAAGTACAAGTAACTAAACTGCAGTGACACAACTAAAATTTTGGGAATTCTTCAACAAAATGTTTTGGCTTAATGGAACTTAGGGTCAGTTCTCCATATGCCAATGTCCTGTGTCCAAAATGGGCTAGCTTCAAAGGCAGCCCAAAATATCCCTAAAATTATGTCTGAAAGTTAGCCTAGTAAGAGCAGAAAGCAAAAGCATGTCCATTCTTTTCAGCAGATGTTTACCAGTCTTGACCATAGATCCCAAAAAGCAAGACTTTGCTAGAGTTAATGCTTTATAAGGATAACCTTAAAACAAATATCTCCATGCTAAGCCTAATAGAATGAAAGCTTGTATCAAAAAAATATTCTGTTTAAACATAATGCTGCTTTAAAAGAATAACGTAAAAGATAATTTGAAATGCTTTGTCAAATATTTCATTTGATTACACAATTGACCATAGGCCCAAACAAAGGAATAGTGACCATAACATAAGGGCAAACCTAATTGAGGACCAGGTTTAAGTCAGGTAACGAAGATAAAGATTCAGCATTACCAACTTTTTTTTTTTTTTTTGAGACGGAGTCTTGCTCTGTGCCCCAGGCTGGAGTGCAGTGGCGCGATCTCGGCTCACTGCAAGCTCCGCCCCCCGGGTTCACGCCATTCTCCTGCCTCAGCCTCCCAAGTAGCTGGTACTACAGGCGCCCGCCACCACGCCTGGCTAGTTTTTTGTATTTTTTTAGTAGAGACGGGGTTTCACGGTGTTAGCCAGGATGGTCTCGATACCAACTTTTAATAATGTTATGATATTTAAAGCCTTATGTTTTATAAGAAATCAACAATGGTTATCATTGTTGATTATCACTATCATTATTAATCAGATATCGAGAAATATTGATTACCTGCTCTGTGGAAGGTACCAATACCAGGCAAAGGGAGATATGAAGACAGCCCTTGTTCTCAAAGAGTCCTTTATTATAAGCCATTACTTTTCCCCATCTGTTCCAAGCATGCTACATAAAGGGTAATCCAATAATAATGCCATCCAGGGTTATCTTTTTTCTTTTTTTTTTGAGACGGAGTCTTGCTCTGTCGTCCAGGCTGGAGTGCAGTGGCTGGATCTCAACTCACTGCAAGCTCCGCCTCCCGGGTTTACGCCATTCTCCTGCCTCAGCCTCCCGAGTAGCTGGGACTATAGGTGCCCGCCATCATGCCTGGCTAATTTTTTGTGTTTTTAGTAGAGACGGGGTTTCACCGTGTTAGCCAGGATGGTCTCAATCTCCTGACCTGGTGATCCGCCCACCTCGGCCTCCCAAAGTGCTGGGATTACAGGCGTGAGCCACCGTCCCCGGCCCATCCAGGGGTATCTTAAGCCAAGCAGTAACAGAACAATCAGCATCCACACCTACTATTAAGGTGTTTCATGCTTCCACTTTTACCATTTTCATTTGGCAAGGAAATCCTGATCACATAGCCTAAAAACATTTAGAGACTTAAGAACTGCTATCAGTATCATCTCCTTCTACTCACTCTTGTCCATGGATCATGGATGCCATAAAATCTGCTAACCTAATTTCTTTTTGCAGCATACCACTTAATTGCAGGAAAAGCTCAAACTCAAATGTGTTATTATTTAAAGCTAAGCCTCACTTCAAATTGAGGTATTTAGGTTTTGAAAAATTCCTCCCCAAAATTCTACTCTGGTATTAGAAAAATCACAATTACAAGCCACAGAATATTAAAGTCACAACTTTGGCAAAATATCAGGATCACTTCAGGGGTGAGATTTGAACTTCAGCACGCAAAACCAAAAATACAATATTCTAATCCTATAGTATCACTCTCTTCTGTGATGATTATTAAGGCCCCTTAAATACTAAGAACAGAAAGAGGGACAAAGCCTCTATTTTTCTCCTCTCCATGCACAACTCAGTTCCAATGTTATGAATATATGCATGTTCTATAACAAAAAGCTACCTTCAAAATGTCCAAGTAACTATAGGTTCAGGTCAAGAACTCCAGACCATATTGATTACATCTCTATGCAAGAAGGACCCTCCAGCACCATTTGTATCCACTATGACAGCTTTTAAGGATCTGTGACATTAAGAATTTTCAATACTATCAATGCCAGGAATGGAAAGCCAATGACCAGTCAGGCCTGTCAGTTGTTGCCTAAAGCAATAAGGACAAGCTGGGAATTCATCACACTGGAACTTCATCTGCCAGCTGCATTCACACATTTTCACCACCTGAATAGTTGATTCTCTTCAACTCCCACATGGCTCATTTCAGCATACAGTGTTTTGAAATGAATATTTGATTAGGCAGGGTAGAAAGAGGTTTGAACTTATCTGAGGTGTCACCATAATGCACTTTAAGTAATTTTAAGTATCAGGAGCTAGGTGTCCTGTTCTTTCGCTATTGCTGAAATGGACCTGTGATCCTAATTAAACAAGATTAAATGAGATGAGACATGTGGCAAGACCTAGCACAGTGTTGGGCACCTAACTGTTTATAAATTATACTGGTTTCCCATCTCTTTTACTTCTGTCTATTGAAAAATATCCTGAAGATTCCTCATAGAGCCTCCTGATTCAGAGACAGGGATCTCACACTGCCAAGGAAACTTAAAAATCACCCTGCTACTTTTCCAATTTCTCTTTTTATCAAAAGTCCAAACCATCACTTACATATAAACCTAAGAAATAACGAGGCCGGGCATGGTGGCTCATGCCTGTAATCCCAGCACTTTGGGAGGCCGAGGCGGGTGGATCACGAGGTCAGGAGATCGAGACCATCCTGGCTAACATGGTGAAACCCCGTCCCTACTAAAAACACAAAAAATTAGCCGGGCATGGTGGCGGGTGCCTGTAGTCCCAGCTACTCAGGAGGCTGAGGCAGGAGAATGGCATGAACCTGGGAGGCAGAGCTTGCACTGAGCCGATATCTCGCCACTGCATTCCAGCCTGGGCAACAGTGTGAGACTCCATCTCATAAAAGAAAAAAGAAAAAAAAAAAAAAGAAATAAACAGAGTAGGCTTCTTAAAATTCCTTCCTTATGTTTAGATCTGAAGAGTTTGATTATGATATGCCTAGGTATGGTTTTCTTTGTGTTTATTAGTATCTCAGCATATAATGAGTTTCTTAAAACTTTGACTTATGTCTTTCATTAATTTTGGAAAATTCTCAACCCTTCATGTATTTCTTTTGCCATATTCTCTTATTTTCTTTCATATATGTGAAATAATTACACAGATGTTAGTTTGATATTGCTATAGTTTGATATACCACTCACACTGAGTTCTGTCTTACTTCAGTATTTTTCTCTTTCTGCTTCAGTTCTGATAAATTTTTACTTATCGAACATTATACTTAATAGTGAAATCATAAACCCTTCCTCCTAGGGTTTATGAAGGGTTGCAGGAGTGTTGCAGGAAGTCAGGGAGCCTGAACAGAGGGACCGGCTGGAGCCACGGCAGAGGAACATAAATTGTGAAGATTTCATGGACATTTATCAGTTCCCAAACAATACTTTTATAATTTCTTATGCCTGTCTTTAATCTCTTAATCCTGTTATCTTTGTAAGCTGAGGATGTACATCACCTCAGGACCACTGTGATAATTGTGTTAACTGTACAAATTGATTGTAAAACATGTGTGTTTGAACAATATGGAATCAGTGCATCTTGAAAAAGAACAGAATAACAGCAATGTTTAGGGAACAAGGGAAGACAACCATAAGGTCTGACTGCCTGCAAAAAGAGCCATATTTTTCTTCTTGCAGAGAGCCTATAAGTGGACATGCAAGTAGGGAAGATATCACTAAATTCTTTTCCTAGCAAGGAATATTAATATTAATACCTTGGAAAGGAATGCATTCCTGGGGGAGGTCCACAAACAGTGCTCTAGGAATGTCTGTCTTATGTGGTTGAGATAAGGACTGAGATACACCCTGGTCTCCTGCAGTGCCCTCAGGCTTACTAGGGTGGGAGAAAAACTCCGCCCTGGTAAATATGAGGTCAGACCAGTTCTCTGCTCTCGAACCCTGTTTTCTATTGTTTAAGATGTTTATCAAGACAATACGTGCACCGCTGAACATAGGCCCTTATCAGTGGTTCCGCTTTTGCCCTTTGCCTTGTGATCTTTATTGGACCCTTATCAGTAGTTCTGCTTTTGCCCTTTGTCCTGTTCCCTCAGAAGCATGTGATCTTTGTTAGACCCTTATTAGCAGTTCTGCTTTTTGGCCTTTGAAGCATGTGATCTTTGTACCTACTCCCTGTTCTTACACTCCCTCCCCTTTTGAAACCCTTAATAAAAACTTGTTGGTTTTGAGGCTCAGGTGGGCATCACGGTCCTACCGATATGTGATGTCACCC